CTCCTCCTCCACCTCCTCCTCCTCCTCCTCCTTCCTCGATTTCCACCTCTTCTTCTTCAATTTCGACTTATTGTCCAAGTTCGTCTTCGATTTCGACTTCTTATTTCTCTTCTTTCAAAAGCACTCTAAAATACATTTCACGAACCCTTCAAAGGAGTTCATCAACCGCATCAAAAATTTCACAGCGGTACAGTGCGGTAAAAGGCCGAACATCAATTCCCCGACGAAAATCAGAAAACTTAAAAACAATCCGATGATAAGACCGATGAACGCCGACTGCAAATCGTTCAGGTCAAACTCACGTGGCTCCTTTCTACCCTCAGCCGCGGCGGTCGGTTCTTTCGTCCACGACCACGTCGCATTATTCAAGATCAATCCGGCATGCCCAGTTTCCAGATATCGAGCGATGATCTCATTACACTTCTCGAAGTAGAAAGAATTTTTCATGAATGTAATAATCAACGGATACGTCATGATGTATTCTTTCATGACGTGATACTCGAACCACTCGTCTTTGAAGAGATGTTTCACGCGGATATATTTTATGGTGAGGGCCGATAAGGGTTCGGCCAATAGAAACGCGTCCGCCTCAGCAACCGAGCGTACGTTTTCCTCTGCCTCCTCAATCAGATCTCCGTAAATTCCTTTGACTTCCGCGAATAAATCCTCAGATTCGGTCCCATTGTAGGTAAACCGTTCGTCGAGGAGTACTTCCCTCGCGATTACATCAGTGATATAATAACGCAGGGTATCGATTAACTTGCCTTCCAATACGTTAGATTGGTTCAATTGGTCGAAAAGACTCACCACCTCCTCCCTGCTGTATTCAAAACTCTGAACGAAGAGATCAGACTCCTCTAAAGTCGTCAACGATTCGATTTCCGGATACTTGACTCTTCTGCTGAGCAGTGTTGTCATACTACCCAGGAAAGCTGTAGATAAAATCAACGCAGAGAAACTGAAGAGTACGAAGATGATTTTCCCTGTGAGTAGACGCCCGAGATGTAGAGACGGCGGGCACCCACAGATGAAGTACGCGTAGACGGTCAACAAGGAGGAGGTCCCTCTGTAGTAATCTATCTCGGCGTCCGTGTAGAGGCGTCGGAACAATTCGCTTTGGGAACGTTGGAAAATATACTGGACGCAACAGAGAGCGAGGATCGTGATGGAAATGGAGACCCAGACAACCGGTGTGAAGCTCTCGAAAACGACTAAACCTTGGGACATAAAACCGCTGCGTGGGGCAACGATGCCCAGGACGTTCGTATCAACGCAGACTGAAAAATCAAGCCGAGAATAATCAGTTTTCTCCGACATGATTCCGTTTTGAAACATGACTAGATCGAAGCCGAGTTTCAAGCTTTCGTCGGTCTCGTAGTAAAAGTCTGCTGCACCAAGTGGGAAGTCTTGATACGTCAGGGTGCAGTTCAAAGAGCTTTCGAGGTGCTCGATGATGGTGATGTGGAAGGGAGCCCAGTTGCTCCACGGGCGGATGAGGATCCTCGAGCCCTTCTGCCCGGAAAAGTCCATCATCGCTTTCAAAGGTTTCTTATGCATGTTTCCCCACGAAAAGTCGAGGAAAGCGTTTTCGGTATCGTCCCAACCCTCGAAGGATATAAGGCTACCCGTGAAGGGGTCGTATCTCTCGCAGCCGCTCGAGTGGCAAATGATAGCCTTGTGTCCTTTGAAGAAGCGCCAAAAGAATTTGAAGCAGAAAGTCAGAGCACCGGATAAATCCGTCTCAAGCGTCATTTTGGAATGAGCTTTCAGACTGGAGTTCTCGGGATTTTGCCCGACATTTTTCAACAGGAAAATTAGGTGGTTTTTGAAATTCCAAATTTTGTTCAAGTACAAACCTTGGGTCGCATTAAAAACCGCATCGCTCAGGGTTGAACCGTCCTCAAGTTCGCGGGACGTTATACTTACGTCCTTACTGCATTTATTACTACCAGTTGCTGCTGACCAGAGCAAACGCCCATCAACCCTAACACACCAACGAGGTAAGATTCTGGGCAACAAAAATGGACGTTCCTTTGAATCCATTTCGGTATGTTTTCCCAACTCCACATCCAGTTCGGACGAACCTGCTTGTGAAATTGTGTAGAAGAATAAATTGAATAACTCATCAAAGTCATGAAGAGTGAAGATAATATTTTTTCTCTGATCAGTGACCACTGAACTGGTAATTTTGCTGTGATGAGATACTGAAATGGTCTGAATTGAGCTCTCGTGCAAACCCTGGATGAAATGCGTTAGTGGTGGGCCCGAATCGAGTTCTATTATGTAAAATAACTGCAGATCGGTTTTGTTCACAATGTTTTGACAAATGCGAAATGCCATTAATGTAATAGATCCCCACCTGTGCTCCATTTGTCGTTGAAGTCCGGAACTGGAAGCGATTATAGTAACTGACTGGAGCGCCAAAGAAAAAAGGTTGCACATATTTTATTGGTACGAAATTATCATGTTTGGGATTTCAGATTGGACACCTTAAAATCACTGAATATACTTTCCGTCTAAACGCAATTGAGATGAATCCAACGTTGACTTTGATTTTGTTATGGAACATTTTTCACGTAATTTTTAACTTTTCTTCAACCTCCAATTTTAATAAGATTCTAAAATGATTTGGAGAGATAATCTTAAACATTCACTATCATAATACGAAATAACGATAAAAAACTGTTTTCCTTTTATGACCCTTCCTCAGCAATATGTCGCCGTACTTGAGAACAGGAAGAACAAAATATTTGCATTTGTCGTAAATCATATTTCATGCATATCGTATCTAAGTCGTGGGCCGTAGAGTAGTTAAATTTCATCCATGCAAAAATAGGTCATTTTACATTTTATAACCTCAATGGTTCGATGCTTGAGAATCCTTGAATAAACTTAATTTTTTTTCTTTTTAATCATCCATGCCCTTGAAATCTTGAATTCTGAAGTGACAGTAACTGAAATTGCGCGTGTATTTGAGACTCCTACAGGGAATGACAAGAGCTCTCTAGCAGGTGCGCGAAAAATCAATGAAGTCTTCGAAACTGCGGATTCGCAAAATTGTGATAGGTAGTAAAATCTGAGAGGCGGAAAATCTGAATGAATATGCTGTGACGCTGAGACATTCAAAATGTTTTCAGTTTGAGGGTGTGCGCATTTTTGATGCCTAGGTACCTGCCGAGCAGTATGCCCAGCAAACTCACTAAATCTTATCTCGTCCTCTAAACAAATAAAGTAAAATAAATGAATGAAACTAGAACATTTAAAGGAAAATAACTCCTGAACTACATACAAACTTTAATATTTTAATCAAATAAAGGAATGGAATTTTTACTAGAACACACATAACATAATTATGTTTATTAACAACTCGCGAAATGCGATTCTATATACAGTTATATAACAAAACGCAAACATTTAACATGTTGTTCAAGAAAAAACAAGGTGACGTAATTTTAGTAGTTGAGACGAGGAGCTCAAAAATTCAGCGTGAGAGGCTCACTGGCGCCTACGAACCTAAGTGGATACTTCACGCATTGCGGAATGCTTGAAGTATCCACTTAGGTTTGTAGGCGTCAATGCGCGTTTCGCGCTGACTGCCCGCCCGTAGTGCGGCGGCACCTTAAGCAATTATTTCACAACAGAGGTGTTCTGCCGTGCTAAGGAAGAACGCCGTATGAGCCTTCAGGCGTTGCCAAATTTTCTTTTATAGAATGTGGCTTTTCAAGGAAATCTGTGAATATTTTTCTTCAAATTTTACAGAGAATTTTATCTGCGATCAGAGTTAATTATTTGAAAAATTTCATGGGAAAATATGTAACTTTTCTCAGAAATAACCATTTTATCGGAGGTTATTAGGGAACTCTTGAATGTTAATAAGGCGTTTTTCCTTAGCACGGCAGCACTTATGGGCAAATAGACACTCTTTGTTTAGCAATTGATGGACATATCCGAGTGAAAACAAAACCGAATTATTAGAATTCGTTTTATCGTGGGAGGGATGAATGAAACTTTCGAAAAAGGATGATTCTCGGCGAAAAAATCCATCAAATTTTGTTCAGAAATTATTTCAGTAGTTTGAAATCAGAAAATCCATGAAAGCTTGAAATTCGATGACCAATTAGAGAGAGAGCGGCACTTCTTTTTTGTAGTAAGAAGATTGAGGTGCAATACTTATTTTCTCTGTATAGGCATTCTGTTATTCGGGTGCTACAATCAACGACGACTCTCATGCATTTCTAAAGAGGCGAGAAAAGAGAAAGTGCCTTCAATTTTGAGCATGCAACACACACATTCGTGGAACACGAATAGTTGTATCCAAGCGCCTTAACCCACTAACAACAAGTGTAGTATTCTTAGGTCGAGATAAGCTCCAATTTGAATGACTCAGTCATAAAAAGAAAGTCATAAGCGCCAGAAATCATGATATAGAAAAACCTGTAAAAAAAGTATAAATCGACCCGATCCAAATTCCAGGGCCCTGAAATAATAAAGCGATGAATTATTTAATCACATATTTATATAATATACGATTTAAAACGGGCCGGTTACACAGCACAACAAATTTCGGGTTTTGGTTCGTCCTTCGAACCAAAGTAATTATCCAACCAATAATCCACTTAATCTTTGCCATTTTCGGTTATTCCAGGATATTTGGACCGTGTTAAACAGAAAGGAACCAAGCCACATCAGCTATTGCCAAGTTTAATTGGGCAATTTAATTTTTTACGAGAGATCGTTTGTGCGAATTCCTTTGAAATTTTTAAGGAATTTGATACAAACTATGGAGAATTTTCACTGTAATTTGCACGAAGATCCGCACAACCGTTTTCATGAAAAAAATTAACTTGCCTGATTTTTGGCAATAGCTGATGTGGCTTGGTTCCTTTCTGTTTCACGCGGTCCATTTTCGACTGCGTTTTTACTAGTTCTGTATAAATCCTCGAGTCTCATTGATCAGCCCCTCACGTTCTCTGAATTCCCTCTGTTGCAGGTGCCTGGCCTGGTGGCTGCTGTTGGCGGGGGCGGCGGTGCTGGCCGACAGCCCCGAGTGGCGCTGCCCGGAAGTGACGTCATCCTGCTCGTGCGACATCCCGCACACCCTCCGCTGCTCCGGGAACGGGACCGAGACGTTCAGCACGATCGCGGGGGCCCTGCGGAGCCTCCCTCCGTCGGCGGCCGTGTCCCTGCTCGACGTCACCGTCCAGAACGTCTTCCGGCTCACGGGGCCCCTCTTCGAGGGCGTGTCCCTCCACGGGCTCGTCGTCTCCTCCGGGGACATCGCGCAGGTGGACGAGTTGGCCTTCTTCGGCCTCGCCAGTCCCCTCCAGGCCCTCGGGCTCCCGAGTAACGCCCTCGAGAGGGTCCCCACCGAGGCCCTCAGTCTCCTCGCAGGGCTCGAGAGGCTGGATCTGTCGCATAATAGGATCAAGAGGCTCGAAAATTCATCATTTGAGGTAGGTTTAGTTTCTCATCCTGGATTTCTTAATTCTTAGACGCTATGCACTAAAAGAAGTGCTTGTAGGAGTGTAACACTGCCGTGCTAAGGAAAAACACCGTATGAGCCTCGTCAAATTTTCTCGTTCATGCCACAAATTGTCGGGAAAATTTTTGGTTTATTTTATTTTCTCCCTAATTTTACAGAGAATTTTGTTCGTAATTTGATCTAAAATATATTCGTAATTGGACGTATTTCTGTCAAACGGAACTAAGCGCCATCGGGGTAGGGAGGTAGAGGGAGGTTTGGATTGGCGGCGGAACCGGGCGTCAGGCTCATTCGTTCCTATACTCGCAATTAGTTCCGTTTGACAGAGGCGGAACGCGCTATCCGGGATTCTGAATTCCTCAAAAGGTACTCAAATTGGCGCTTAGTTCCGTTTCACAGAAATACGTCAAATTAATAATCAATAAATATACAATTATGAAATAATGAAATAAAAAAATATAAAAAAGAAAAAAGTTAAATGTATATAAATTATGCAAAAAATGCCTTTATTTAATTAATGATTTAGCCTTTCCCCGTGTGTATTTTTTTACACGCCATGCACTGCACTGGAAAAAAAACACACATTGGATCTAGAGTCCAGACTCCTAAAAACATCGACAAGAAAAATTACTCTTGATTCAATGAGATTTAAGCTTAAATCAAAAGGAAATCCGCCCAAATTAAGAGGCTTGGTTCTTGATTTAAGCTTAAGTCTGATCGAATCAAGAGTATTATTTCTTGTCGATGTTTGTAAGAGTCTGGACTCTGGATCCAATGTATTTTTTTTTTATCCAGTGTGTAAAAAAACTGCTTCCTTAAAAGTGATGATTCAGCCTCAGAGACAAGGTATGCTCAGCGCAGTTACAACCGGACTGCATTTTGCAATTTGGAACTATAAATCCTGGCTCTCATGGAAAAACACACCCATGTGTGCATAGGGAAATTAATGGCACATGCGTTGTTATTAAACCGGGCTAGAATTTATAATTCCAAATTGCAAAATGTAGTCCAACTATTCTGATCAGTGTTCGAAACTCACCCTTGAGTTTTAGGAGCCACGTGGCGCATCAAGCCCGATTTTTAGGCGCCATTGAAGGTTTTTTAGGAGCCAAATTGACTTATTGCCTACATATTACGGAAAGTTAGACGCCAGATAATTTCGTGACAGAACTGGTAAGTAGCTGTAACTTTGGGGAAGACAAAAGCACAAATTATGAAATCGTGAAGAATATAGAAAAAGCTTTCACTTGTGGTGCTGAAAATGTCGAATAATCACCTAATATGAAAATTCAGATTTTTAGGGGGCAATTTAGGGGCCACGTTTGCGCAGAGCCTTCATTTTTTAGGCGCCATGACCGATTTTTTAGGCGCATTTGGCGCGTTGGCGCCTGTGAGTTTCGAACACTGATTCTGACCGTACCATTTTCTTGTGACAGGGCCTCCCGAACCTGACATTCCTGGACCTGAGCGACAACCTGGTAACGTGGATCTCGCCCAACGCCTTCTCGAGCCTGCTGGAGCTCCAGGTGCTGCGTCTCCAGGGCAACCGGCTGCGGATCGGCCCGGTGGCGGCCCTGCAGGGTCTCCACCTCCTCCAGGAGCTGGACCTGAGCAGCAACATCCTGGCCGGGGCCCTGGGGCCCACAGCCCTCCCGCGGCTCGCCAAGCTGCGGACCCTCAACCTGAGCCACAACCAACTGGGCAGCGTCCGCCGCGGGGCCCTCGCCGGCATGGACAACCTCACCTCCCTGGCCGTCCACCATAACCAGATCGACGTCCTCGAGGACCACGCCTTTCGCGCCGCTGGGACCCTCGTCGAGCTCAACCTGAGTCACAATAGGATCATCGCCATCTCGGGGGCCTCCCTCGCTCATCTTAGCAAGTTGCAGGTAAGCACTTTAGAACCGGATCTGTCATTTTCAAAAAGACTCACACTGGAAAGAAAACACATTGGATCTAGAGTCCAGACTCTTAAAAACATCGACAAGAAAAAGTGCTCTTGATTCAATCAGAGTCTAGCATAAATCAAGAACCGCCTCTTAGTGAACCATTAGACAAGGTTCGAATTTAAGCATTCTGATACATGTTTTCTAGTCAGAATTTCACGTAGAGCACGATTCGCACAACGAAAATTACTTAAACCAACTCCTTACGAAGGTTTTAACGTTTTTATTTCACATTGGTTACGAGGAATTTGAACTGCCCGCTCACAAGAAACTCAAAGCTCTACGCGAGTCAAATCGCGCACTACAACGGTTTCAGCAAGCCTCTCAATCGAGCAATGTTCAGTTCCCACCATGTGTTGTTTAAACTATAAGCAATTTTCTATAGCTGAGCCAAAGTGTCAAGATTGAGACTGTCAGATATTTATATTGCAGAGACTGTCATGATAACGTTTAGCGCGCGATTTGAATCGGGTAGAGCATTGAGTTTTCACGAGCGGGAGGTTTGAATTCATGCATCAAGAATCATTAAATATCCTCGTAAGGAGTTGATTTCGGCAATTTTTGTTGTGCGTATTATGTTCTACGTGTTTTGGTTAAAAGACATGTATCAGAATGCTGAAATTCGTACCTTGTCTAGCGGTCCATTTAAGCGGATTTCGTTTTGATTCAGGCAAAAATCCGATTGAATCAAGATTATTTTTTCTTGTCAATGTTTTCAAGACTCTGGACTCTAGATCCAATGTGTTTTTTTTCCAGTGTAAGCTGATTCGATGGACGCCATATTTTGTGTCAGAACGAACGAGCTCAGTGGATTAAAAGGGCAACTCATCACTGAAAATGAGAGTAAGATGCCTCTCAAACCTAGTTATCCAAACAGGAGAATAAGTTTTGAGTTGTTGAAGCTGATTCGATGGACGCCATATTTTGTGTCAGAACGACATGCGATTTATCGCATCGATTGGTTCCATTTTTTCAGTTACTCGTCATTTTTCTCGAATTTGAGATCGCAATTCTGTTGTTAGTAGACTTAAGAATTCATTTACCAATTTTGACAAACAAATTCAATATATTAAATGCGTGGTTTTTTAGATGAAAAATATCGCTTTCGATTCGTGCGGATATTGAAACTGCACTCGGTTACGTTGTGTCTTTGGTGGATCGATATTGTTTGGGCTTAAATGTGTCGTAAGCAAATAGTAAAATCAGGTATTTTGTCAAGTGCCTAGGCAAATAGTCAAATCTTACTTAGATCGATATTCTGATATTTTCCCCTAAATTTAGACAAAATAATGCATTGCTCCAGTAAGAATGAATTCTTTGTAAAAATCTGCATAATACAATATTGTATTTCTAACGATATTTAGCACCTGAACGAACATTTATCTTGAAAGTTTCAACGCGTCATGAAACACAGAATTTTCACAATTTTAACATTTTAAATTCATAGAGACATTTGCAGTGGTAGGAACGAGGAGGGTATTTACAGTTGATCAGTTATTTTTCTAAAAATATTGAATCCTCATGAGCAATTTGCCAGAGGCGGACTAGCTCCTCAAAACGGCCCAGGAAATCGCCAACAGACCGGTCCATTCCGGTGCCGCAGNCACCCCCCTCCCCCAATAATTTTTCGATATTAACCATAGGCGTACCTAGGTCATTTTTCAAAAATTGCCGAAGTTAGGTTAGATTGTCAGAGTTCATTTTTGTGTGAATGTGATACCAAGAGTATATCTCCCTGGAAATTTGGCCGTGTTTGTGATAAAAAAAAATGTCTACTTTCTTTTTCTGGGAGTTAGGTAAGTTCGACGTTTTCCAGCCGATAGAACGTAACAGCATTCCAACTTGAAACATTTCCACTTATATAGTATATTCTCACCAGAAAACATACATGATTGCAAAATCTCTACAATCGTAAACCAACAACAAACCTCAAGAAAAGACGACCTTTCAACGACTCGAGCGCGCACTGTGATTTACGCGCAACGCATAAAGTATCCTCCAGGCCTGTAAGGCGCTACCATGCGTATACGCGCAATGCATGAAGTATTTTGCGGTCTTGTAAGGCGCTACTATGCGCTAGCTCCGCGCCGGCCGCACTGTCTTTGACCACCGCGCACCGGCCCACCGGTAGCCTCCCGATTTCGCGGTGGGCGAGCCTGCCTCAGCAATGCGCAACAAATATACAAATTTCTTAGTCTGTCGAAATTCGGCTGACTGTCTGAGCAATTGACAAAATGCCTTATTTAACTATTTGCCTGCAACAGATGTATCTAGGTGCAAAATCACCAGCAGAAAAACTGATTATTAAGGCCGAAATAACACCAAATAAGTCAACGCCTCGAGACAAGCGATTTAATTGGACGTATTTCTACCAAACGGAACTATATGTATCATGACATGAGCTCTGAGACACATAAGAATGTATGCATAACAGGGCTCACGTCGTTGAGCACATAGTTCCGTTTGACAGAAATACGTCCAATTTTCAGTCATCCTAACGTTCTCATCTACACGAAGNGAGGCCTGCCATTCCTAATATATCAGAGCGCCTTCAGTTTCGTATGATACTGTGCAATACCTCTGGTGTGAAATAGTTGCTTCAAGCGCCGTTGCACGCTGCGGTGCGGCAGGCGGGCAGCCAGCGCGAAACGCGCATTGGCGCCTACAAACCTAACAGGGATACTTCACGCGTTGCGCAATGCGTGAAGTATCCCTGTTAGGTTTGTAGGCGCCAGTGCGTCGTCGCTCCGCTTTGTGTTAGGCTCTAATATTTAATCTGGCGGAGTCAGCATTATTCAACTCATGATTTTGAAATTTTTGCACATCCTGTATGGATTATTCTCGTTTTAATTGATAAAAAAAAATATGTATTAAAGGAAAATATAACGTGTGTTTTGTAAATATTAAGGTGGTTCCGTATCAAACTTAATGATTTCCAAAGCACACGAATTTCTACACAATTTCTTATAGCCTTTTATAATCGATGGCGAAAAAGCAACGGCCAGGCGATAAAGTGTAAAGCCCGGCGATAGGAACTATAGCCCATGCAGCTGCATAATTTTTTATCGCTTCGTATAGCCCAGCCGTATGATTTTCTCCGCATTCTACAGCCAGCTGTATGATTTTCTGTAGCCTTCTTTAGCCGGCTATCAGAATTCCTATGGTACTTTGAAACGCAGCTCTATTAGCCAATTTTTACCAGGGAGATGCATCTTGATACAAAATGACGAGCAGAAAAACCGATTATCAATGCCGATATAACTAGAGGCGGATCCAGCAATTTGGCAACACCGGATGTCCTCCATTTAAACCTATGTTAAATAATCGATTCTTGTCGGATCACCTGGTCCCTCCAAGAATCGATACATTTCGATAGGTTTAAATGGAGGAAATCCGGTGTTGCCAAATTACCGTATCCGCCAATGGATATAACATCGAAGAAGTCGACGCTTCGAGACAAGCTACTCAATCTTCGGCCATCCTAACGTTCTCATCTACATGAAGAAATATTTGAAACTGATTTTGGCTTTCCTCGTTTCAGGTGCTGGACCTAAGCCATAACTTTCTGCGCGCTCTTACCACTGATCTAGTCACGCCGCTGAAGAGGCTCCGCGAGTTGCATCTAGATGACAACGATATTTCCATCGTTGCCAAACATGTCCTCGATTCAACCAATCTCCGAAGGCTCACTCTAGCAGGTAAGAAATCAATTGGACCTAGTTATGCTGCACCACCACCACTGAAACCACCACCCTCCTCCGCGCCCCCTAAGGAGAGACATCCCTTTGTGCGAGAAAAAACGATTTTACTGATGACATAACTGCTACTGATTTCAAGTTGGGTGCTTTTACGAACGTGTCTTCGTCCATGTACTCAATAGAGAATTTGCAGGTGTCTTAAATTTTGTGAATTTCATTTTTAAGTTCTACTGCTTAGAACACTGAGTGCGAGGATATCCTTGGTTTCTAAATTGAAGAATTATTGCAGGAAATATGACAACATAACCGAATCTGCCAAAATAGATGTGTTTAAATGGAAAATGTCAACATGTCATAAGGCGGCACATGTTCTCACTTTTAAATGTATTTTTCTCCAATTTCTCGTGTCAGAAAAAAATTATGAAAAATACTGCGAACATAGCTCATTAGGCACTTTCAGATGACGCAATAAAATTTTTGTGTGCAAATTCTCCATTCCTTCTCGAGAACCTCTGTGCATCTTGAAGAAATTTTCTAGACCATGATATTGAAATGAAACCGTCCGTTTTATTGAGTCCTCTTTTAGCAACTCCATACACGGAAAAAAACCATCGTGCGTGGGACCCGAAGTTTAGGTCATATGGATCTCTGAAGTTTTCAGATTAAGCATCTGAACACTTAAGGACTAGCTGTCGAGGTTCAGATCACACATCTGAAACTTCAGTTCTTACTTCTAAAGTACTTCAGATGTGAGAACCGAAGTTTTTCGGATGTAAAAACCGAAGTATACTTCAGACGTAAGAACTGAAGTTTCAGATGTGTGATCCAAACCTCAGCAGCTGGACCATACGTGTTCGGGTGCTCAATCCGAAAACTTCAGTGATCCCTATAACCTAAACTTCGGGTCCCACGCACGAAGTTTTTTTCTCCGTGTACCTCGATAGATGCCTCTTAGAAACCCAAGTCTTTCAAAACAAATAGTAAGGCTCTCAAGGTATCAACCCCTCCTCTAATCAGCATCTTCTCTATTTTCCACAGACAATCCACTGAACTGCGACTGCAGCCTATTGGACTTCGCCCACTGGCTGGCCAACTCATCCCTCCCGGCGCCGGACCGCGCAAGCGCCGTCTGCACAACCCCGCCCTCCCTCGAAAACGGCCCCCTCCAGGAAGTCCCGCCCTCGAAGCTCATCTGCGGCGCCCTGGAGGACTCCAACGAGCCCCCACCTCCGCCTCCGCCCCCGGCGCCCTCCAAGGTCCGCCTCCACGGCCTCCAGTACGACGGCCAATGGCTCTCCCTCCTCTGGGCCGTCGACTCGCCCACCGTCTACTCCTGCGACAGCCTCCTCGTCTACGAACACGAGGCCCTCCTCCACTCGCAGCCGCTCCACTGCAACTCCACGCTGGTCCCCGACTCCAAGCGCCTCCTCGTGTCCCTCCCAGGGGGCGTGCTCCACACGGGGCGGAGCTACAAGTTCTGCATCACCCTCCAGGAGGCGGAGACCCGCGCTCTCGTCCTCGGCTGCAGCGATATCATCAGCCTCGTCATCACGACCCAGCATATCAACACCCAACCCTTCATCAACACCCTGGAGACGAACCTCACGTCTTCGGGTGCCATCAGCGTGGCGGTCGAATTGTCGTCGACGACTTCGGAGGCGTGTTCGGTGGGCGTGGTCGTCTCGGCGCGGGGCGTGGCCGTGTCCAGGAGGAACCTCACGTGCTCCGCCCCCTGGGCCACGTTCCGCGGGCTACCGCGCGGGCCCTACGAGGTGTGCGCCACGCTGAGGCAGGGCTCCGCCCCCCACGTCAGGTGCGTGACGGTCCTCGACCGCGCCCAAGCCACGCTCAGCGTGGTGTACTCTTTGAGCTTCTTCGTGTTCAGTATGATTTTGTTGTTGGTCGTGTACCACCTGATGAGGCGGTTGTTCCAGCGGGCTAAGCCGGCCCAGCACCAGTGTTTCCTGCCCCTCCCTCAACCGGAAATCGATCACTCCAGGTATATTAAGCTACATGCGACTACTGTATTGTAGTGGAAGAAACCAGGGCTGTTCGATTGAGTTTTCGGTCCATCGTGGCGTGACGTCACGTGGATCTGTATACTGGCAGCCCTAGAATATAGATCTGCGCCGTGCATAGAAGGAACGTCGTATGAGCCTTTAGACGTTGCCAAATTTCTCTGGATAAATCACGAATTTTCTAAAAATTGGAAATTATTTTTCATGTAATTTTTCAGCAAATTTTACTCGCACTTTGATCTGGAGTAAAAGAAAATTTCAAGTAAAAATATTCATATTTCTCCTCAAAAATAAAAAAAAAATAAAAAAATACCTTAACAGGGAAAATTAGAAAACATTTAAATGTTCATACGGCGTTTACGGTTCCTTAGCACGGCAGATGAATGTTTAGAGAGAACATTCCCAGGGGAGAAGTTTGCCCTCTCTTTCATTGATCAGTGAACTTTATGCTTTTATACCAGTCCTTCTGCTCTTAGTTTTCAATCAAAGTAAAAAAAGGAGATGGTGACATAGTTTTTGATGTAATAAGGATTTACTGATTTCCAAATTTTGATTCAAGTTCTGAAATCTGATCTCAAATGAAGTTCTGACAAACTTAATTTGATTTTTTGTCGAGAATTACAATAGTTAAATGAGAAGCATTCAATTCTAATCCTCCCGCGATAATGCAAATTCTTCTTCATTGAATTTTTTTAAAAATTCGTTCTCAAAAGCCCACAAAAAGTCTCAAACGGATGAACCAATCAAAAAGCGGCAAAAACATGTTTAAAATTTTTTTCCGGACCAAGTTTTAGAGGAAGGAATAGAAAATAATGCTTTCTGAGATGGGCGTAATTGTATTTCATAATTTGTGCCAACAAAATGCCTCGAATTGTGTTTAGAAATGGTTCAAATTTGAATATTTTTTCGCGAAAAATTTCAAATTTCAAATGTTTTTAGACCAATTACCCTCATACGAGGAAAGTTACTTTAGGAAATCTCAACTCCCAGGAGAGGTGCGCACTTGTTTTGTCGGTGGCAATTCTAACCTGATCTCCTGTAAATCGTCCATATTGGATGAATTGCGATTCCCAAAATCGGTGGCACCAATGATTCTTTAGTACGTCTCATAAAAATTCCGGCTGAAATTAGGGCACCTCATATTCTTCAGCTGAGCAAGAGAGAGCCAGTTACCCACCGCCTTTACCAAAAATTTACAGGTTACATGGACGACTTAAACCAGAATTTGACTGCATTTTGCAATGAGGAACTACAATTTCTGGCTCAGACCAGAAACAACGTATGCACCATTAGTGATATGTGCAAATAAGTGATTTTACAGATGAGCCAGAAAATTTAGTTCCTAATAGCAAAATGATGGCCAGTTAACCAATGGATACATCCTGTTTTTTTATTTTTATTTTTTACTGATGAACTAAGCTATCTACCGTGTTCTCGTAAATACATTTTTTTAAATCACGGCAACGTCGCAAAAGTTTTGAAAGTGCCATGTTGTTTAGTTTTCAGTCAGGCTGAGGGCTGACTCAGATTAATCCGTCTATAAAATCTTTGAGCCAGTTTCCTGACTGGAAATTGGACTTATTTTGAAATTCGGAACTACAATTTCTGGCTCATTCGTAAAAACACTTACGTCCATAGGGAAACTAATGGTACATACGTTGTTTCTGAACCAAGCTAGAAATTCTAGTTCCATATTGCAAACTGGTGTCCAGTGGAAAGGATACCTGTTTTGTTCGTCTCCTCCATGTCACATATGCGATTTCTTCAAAGTTGATCGGAATCCTAAGACGAAACGACTCTCAACGGAGCGTTGAAATGATGATTATCAAAACGTAATTACAATCCGCTCCTCTAAACTTCGATTTTGAATTTTGTTTAAGGTTAAGATAACCAGAATATCATAAGCTCCAAGTGTAGTGATGATCGGTTGTTCTTCGCGTATTATCTAGTCATTAATTTTTCTTCCTGTTTTTTCAATAATTTTTTTTTTTTGCATTTCTTTATAGGAGGTAAAAAATCACTGTCATAAAAATGTTCGATGCCGACCAAGTGCGATGCAATAGCGATTGTACAGTTGGCAACATTGTTTTTGCTCCCTTTAAATGCATTAAAAATATCGATTTTAGGTGAGGCATGCTGCTTCATCAAGAATCGATAGTTTTCCATACATTTAAATGGAGGTAAAACAGCATTGCCAACTTGAAAGAATCGCTACTGGCGCGATTGATTCATTTTTTGTTCAATTTTATTTCGACTGAGCTACCTTAACCTCACATCTATTGATGACATGTTTGAATGTTCAAACGTTGCAATTAGGAACATATATTGCTAGGTCACTCACAAAAGTACCTATCTGAGTATCGATAAAATAATGGCGCGTACACGTCGGATAAGAATAATTTTTTGGTGTCGGCATCAAAAATTCTCGACTTTTGACAGTAATGATTTACTCCTCCTCTGATCTCTTCGATAAAAAAAAGTTAGATGCTCTACAGCAAAAGTTTGTTTCTTCTTACCCATGTTTTTCTTTTTTTCTTCCGGACTCCATTTTTTTATCTCTATCATAGAGAAATCTTGATCAAAATTGCAAGCCACCCTTCGAATCTACCCTGCTTTGTATAATGTATTGTATAAGTCAGCGATCTGATCATTGAAATTGATAGACAAAGCGATAGACAAAGTAGAGTACCTGTATAGGGAGAGTAGCGACAGATCTGAAACTCCGAAAGTCCATCAGGCCTTCACCGATGCCTCCGCGAATAAAGTTAGGGCCCAAAAGGGCAGCCAACCTATGAATTTCGAATGTCCAGAGCGATTTACAAATACAATTGTTACGAACCGTCGTTTAGAAAGCGTGTATTTGGTTTACTTTTTGCATAAATTTACTTATTTTTGCGAAAGAACGCTCATTTATGTACATTCTTAGCCATCTTGGTTAGAATTGAAATCTGTAGGCTGGCAGTGAAATTTTGTGTGTTAGAAGTTGCTCAGAAGGGTGGCTGCACTTTTGGGCCCTAAGCCCTCCATGAACCGATCTGTCGCTACTCTCCCTATACAGGTACTCTAAGACAAAGAAGACATAGGGAATACGGAGCAATCCTATCGGTTGAAATGGTTGATTCTTATAGATTAAGGGAGAAACTTATGGACTAACTGTCAGGTTTCTCGTGGGTTTCCGTTAGTTAGTCTATTACCTACCGCCTTTGTCCATTGAAACCACTCGCTTCCACCAACAGGATCCCTCTATATCCATGTTGTCTTCTTTGTCTATACCTTTTTCTATCACTTTCAATAATCGGCCCGCAGGGCAGTATCAAAGGATGCTTTCCAAGATTGGTCCAACTAATTTTAATCTGCCATACTGTAAATTTAAGCAAGATTCTTATGATGAATACTTTCAAATTAAAATCTGAACTAAATGAACGAATCACGTCGTGTATCCGTTCACTTTTCCATCAAAATCTCTACCTAGTTTAAGTTTTTAATTTTTTTAAATGTACACCTAGTCTTTGTGTAAATATGTAAATGTTACTTGTTTTCTATTGTGCCATCCTCATTTTCTGATCGTCTAAATTGCAAAATCAAAATCCGTAACGCAGGGAATACTGTGATGTTCTTGATCGACCTACAAAAATGGATTATTTTGATCGACATTTCAGTCAGTTGGAATAGACCATCAGACTAAGTATACTACGGTACTTTGCATCTTAAAACATTTGACAAGAGAGAGTATAAAACTGAAAATCTCATTCAAAGGGTAGTGCTGGAGTGTATTGCGTCAGTACTTGAGTATCACATATCTCCATAGTTTCATTATTTAATATTGATACACAGGAATACAATATAAGTCATTTGTTCTACCGCATTTTTCGAACCTCAGTATTTCTCTCGTTTTTGCGAGGCGATGGTCTAGAAAATCAAGGGTTTTATTTTTTTAAATTTTGCTAAATGTGATAAGTGATTAATAACGACATTTTTATGGTGCTTGTATTAATTGATTTCTTTTGCGGTATATCTGTTAACATACATCATTCTTATTTTACTATGCTAACAAATTAACTCGGAAAATACAGCAAATCGATTGTAACCACTAAAAACACTAATAATAAATGCACAAATAATCCTTTAACTTGAACAACATGAGAAAGAAATCACTATCATGTAAATATTGCATAGAGTAGGTATGTGTAATTCTTTTGTAAATGAGGTTATTTATTTTTCAAATTTTTAATTATTGTGAATAACAAAGATTTCCCTGTTATTGTTCTTTAAAAAATAAACTCATTCCTTAAAATCTTGCCAGACTTTATTTACTTAAAATATCCTTAGCCTTGAATCCTGGTTTAGGTTACCATATATTTCCGAAAAAAGGCTTCCGTGTATGAAAGAAATCAAAATCTACGCAAGTCAAAATACCATATTGAGAATAACTTTATGTCGATCGTTAAAGTCGAAAAATGTGTATCTTCATTGCACCGTTCCAAAATCTTCGATTTGGATACTGCATCTTTTCAAAAAAAGACGACCCAGAATATCTCCTCCAAATTTTCTGTGAATATTTCTGAACGAGTGCGAGGACTGTTCACAGAAAATTTAAAAAAAAAAAAAACAGGAGTGCTTTTTTAGGAAAAATTAAAACACGATTAAAGATTTGCAGTATTGCAAGTAGAAATACGCCTTTTTAACATCGATGTGTTTTGCAAATTACCAATGTCAGATTTTATGAGTTTTTTTGTTATTTTTATATTACGCAAAATACCGATAGTTCGTGATCACTCAATTCTCGTGGTAGTTGAAATTTTATTGACTGCAAAAACGGGCCAAAATTTTTTAGTGTGCAATCTGAATCAGGTAGATTCTTATTTTTTTATATGCGACATATTTGAGTTTATGGACATCACACTTATCGATGGCCGAAGTTTTAATCACGTACCTTCGTTTGTGACGTTGCAGACTTCCCGTCAATTTTTTTGTCAATTTTGTTTCGGAAAACTAACGAACGTAATTTCTCAAAAACGTCCTTGATTTTTTTTTCTCTGTTCGCAGAATATTATGAATGGATTTCAAGCTATAAAGTCTTTGGCCTCTTTATCTCCGAAAAAATACCACGATGGAGATACGTGCAGTCATGCACTTTGGCCATTGATATAGTAAATCAATGACTAAGGTCAAAACAGGGTCGGACTGGCTCGCATCTGAGGGCGTAGACCCTTGGCTGGTTAAAGGGGCGTAATATGATATTTCCTGGTAGGGCATTCCCTACGTGGAGAGGGGTTCAGAAAATTTTGGCAAATCAGCACAAAGTTCACGCTATTTTCAGGTTCAAAGTTTATTGATCGCACGGAGTAAAAATTGCAAAATTAACGTGAAGCACAGCATTGAGAGCTCACGCTTTGCGTCATCGCGCCTTCAATTTTTCAGATGCAGCACGGGCGTCCATCAAGTACGAATAGTTGTATCTCTGCGCCGTCGTTAGCACGCATCTTTTCCCTCGCTTTATTTCCATATTGTGTTTATTTGCGTTTGTCTTATTTGCAATGCTGCTTCTAACTAGAGCAGAGTATTGCGAGTTCACGACTCACGGCATAGCGTCTTACATTTTTCATATGCAATGTGGACATCCATCTTGCGCGAATAGTTGTATCGCGTTTACATTTTAGATGTCTCTTATTTTTGAATTTCGAGATAAATTAAGGCTAAGTTTGCCCAAGCTGTGCTATGGTATGTCCAAATCAATTGTCATTTGAAAAGGAGGAAATATGTTTAAAGGTTCTTAAGAGGTCTATAAAGGATGCGTATGTCTAAAAATCGAATCGACCATTGCTTCTAAGGGTGTTACACATAGCGAATGAAGGAAGGGATGATAAAGCGCCTGCATGTTAAGAAGAAGGTGAAAATTTCACAGAAAATTGTTTACGCTCCAGAAAGTAGTTCTTGGACCTCTGTTCACCACTATCATGCGTGAAAGCGCCTTTCGTTACTCCTAACTCTCTCTTCTTCTGTTCATTTAAGAATTTTTTCTCACATATTCTCGGTCGTAATTTTTTCTTCTTCTTATTTTGCTATCTGTAAGAGGGGCGCGTTTTCGGCGCGCAAAGGGGGCGTATCTGCCAATGGCAGATTGGCCTTATGGCCAGTCCAAGCATGTACTTATGAATATCTCTATTGCAGCGTTCGAAAATTTCTGATAGTTACTTTGCTTTAAAAGAAAATTAACCAAACTACCTTCTTCAAATTTTCTGTGAGGATTTCAAGAAACGTGGAGAAAATTTACAGATAATGCCGAGAAAAACTCTTGATATTAGTTTCTGGCCAAAAAAACATACATATGAGGAGCTTGGAGGACAAGACGCGTAAGTGAAGTTTTTGCTCTTTCGAGAAATACGTGTTTGGAGTTTCGAAATTTCATGGATGCTTGGGGCGGAAAGAAAGTTCAAACTGACTTTTTGATGCTTAAAAATTGGAATTTGGAAGCAAATTTTTCACAGAATATGCATTCTCACTAGTATTACTTGAAATCATTATTATCTCAAATTTTTCAAGAGCTGCACTTATGTGCCTTGTCCTCCACGCCCCTCATATAAGACATATCGACGGTGAAATTCCCAAACCACGTATCTCGGTTTGCAACGTTGCAGACTTACTGTCATACTTTATTCTTTGAAAGAAAAACCACTCAACGTACATTCCCTAAAATATCTGTGATTGTTCTGCCCTGTGCGAAGAAAATTCTGTGAAAACTACACGGAAAGATGTTGATTCGCTTCCAGAAAAAAATTAATAATAGGAGCGGAGATTTTTAAACACCGCAAACGAGATACGTGGTTTGGGAGTTTCACCGTCGATATGCATCGAAATGCAACGTTGCAGTTTTCCGACTTTCGCCAACAGTACCTATCGATTTCGATTTAGACGAATGTTTATCGTTTTTCTGGATTCCTAATTGAACATTTTAAACATCTCTTTAAACTTTTTTCAACAGAGAGATTTTCAATCGCACTAGATACTTTACTGCGCCAGAGTGCCGACAGAAATCAACGCAAATCTCTCCGACAAAAGCCAGAAAACTCAAAAACAATCCGATGATAAGACCGATGAACGCCGATTGCAAATCATTAATAGTAAACGCGCGTGGCGCTTTATCAAGCTCATCGACCGTCGATACTTCCAACCTCTCCGTGTCCAGGAAGCCCGCCCCTCCAGCCTCCAAAATCCTCCTGGCATGCCCACTTTCCAAAAACCGAGTGATCATCTGGTTGTACTTCTCGAAGTAAAACGAATTCTTCAAAAATAAGATAATGACCGGGTGCGTCATGATGTATTCGTCCATCAGATGATACTCGATCCACTGATTTTTGAACAGATGTTTCACGCGGAGGTTTTCTTTCGACGCGAAGGACGAGGGTAAACTCAGCAGGAGGGAGTCCGCCTCCGCTATCGACCGGACGTTCTCTTCCGCCTCCTCGAGCAGATCTCCAAAGATTTCTTTAACCGCCGGAAATATCTCCGCAGGAGACTCGGTTTCATTGAGGGCATCGATGCATCGCTCGTCCGAAAATATAACATTGCTGATATAATTAACGTAAAAACGCAAGTTATCCGTCAACCGCCCTTTAAGCGCCTGGGAGTAGTTCAACTCCTCGAGGAGACTAAGTGTCTCCAGTTTGTCTTGCTCGAAAGTCTGAATGAAAAGCTCGGACTTTTCCAAGGTCTTCAAAGAGTCGATCTCCGGGTACATGACTCTATCGCTGAGCAGTGTCGTC